GGGGGGGGGGATTTCTCCACGCATGACAAAATGGTATGGCGGTTCACACGAATCATAACACTGAAAGAACTGTAATAATGACAACCCACGGACGCGTGCGCGACTATTCTAGGTCATGCAGCATGCTGCTTCGCCTTCCTAGGGCACCGTGACGCTGTCCTTTGCAAGACACGGCGGGCGCCCTTGAATGGCACACGCTACATGTTCAGTGCGTGAAAGACATGTCTTCAGCGCACTGCCAGGACTTCTATGTGAAATAATGTGGCGCCCATGTTCACCCCAGCCAGCTCACGCACCGCACACCCAGCAAGATTTTTATAGCATACCATTGCAGCATCCAGCTTGAAGGACCGCGCTGCAAACACAGGTGGCGGTCGGCCGCACACATCACGCAAACCCAATAGAAGTTGCTGGCACTGCACACGTTTACCACCACACATACACAAGGTATTCCCTTGAATACTCAGAGCTGCCAAAAGTAACTCTGTAAAAAGCCAGTGCGGCAGTCGTGAACACAGAGAGCACATGATGAAGGAGGTGCAGAGAGTATAACGAATACGCCCTGCCAAATAAACAATTCATAGACACTGAGACGGTGCCTCCCACTCTATCCCACGCCGCGCCACCAATGCGCCTCCCCCGCACACTTTCCCTCTTGCCCCTTCATACTGCCTGAAAGAAAAATCTGTCGAGCAGCAGCACAATCAAGCGAGCACGATGAAGGCGATGCGTACAGCGGTGCCTGTGGCCATCCTGGCCCTCGTCGTGTGCCTCGCCCCCGTGGCGATGGCGAGCCTGCACGCGGACGAGACGCTGGCGTCACAGTTCGCGGCATTCAAGCAGCGGCACGGCAAGATGTACGGGAGCGCTGCGGAGGAGGCGTACCGTCTGCGCGTGTTCAAGGACAACCTGTTCGTCACGCGGCTGCACGCTGCCGCGAACCCGCACGCGACGTTCGGCGTCACACCGTTCTCTGACCTCACACGCGAGGAGTTCGAGGCCCGCTACCACAACGCTGCAGCACACTTCGCGGCGGCTGCAATGATAGCAGCGCCCCGCCGTACTGTATTATTAAAGGCTTCGATTAAGTGAACGAGGTTTTATAACTTTTTGTCGTATTTTGTTTGGGAATCTTTTGTGGTGTTTTTTCGGTTTTTGTTTCTTGTTGGTTGGTTCGGGTGGGTTTGTTGTGTTAAATTCGTTTCGTTGGTTTGCTGATGGTGTTGTTGCGTTGTCCGGCTGTTCTGTCTTGCCTTTTTTTTGTGTGTCATTGTCCCGCTTTTGGTCTTTTCTTGCTTGTTTGGCAAGGAGCCTGATTTGACTTTGTTATGGCCAATGGCTTTTCTCCCTAAGCGCTTCGTGGTGAGACTGTTTTTTCTTCTGCTGCTCGCTTTGGTTCTGGTGCATCTCGGTCTTTGGCTTTGCTTCGATTCGAATCCTTCTGTACGCACTGTGGGGCCGTGGGAAGTGAATCTTGTGCATGCGGGGTGCCAGCGAGAGGGGCCAGAGACGTCTGCGGTTAACGGTGTGATTCTTATACTGATCGGAGATGCCGGAAATCGTTTTGCGGGGGACATGCTACCGCGACTGGAGGCCTACTTTCTGTCGCGCTACCGGTATCCTGTCCACATCTTCTATGAGACTCTGCCAGAGTCTATGCAGGTGGCAATTGAGCGTGCCATACCGTCGGCTACCCGAGTTGAGTTTGAGGACGTGAGCCGAATGTGGCAGGCGTTGCCGCGGGGTGTCACGGAGGAGATGCTCGAGGCGTGGATGAACACGCGGGAGCAGCTTCGGCAGAAGAAGCGTGGCTACCGCATTATGTGCCGCTTCTGGGCGGGACTTGTCTGGCAGCTCCCCTCGCTGGACCGGTATGAGTATTACTGGAGACTAGACGATGACTCGTTTCTCACGGCACCGTTGCCGTGCGACGTGTTCCAAGTGATGCAGGCGCGGCAGTGTGTGTACGGCTATCGACTCATACTGAAGGAGGGCCGTGAAGTCACCGTGGATATATGGCCGACATTTTTGCGGTGGGCGGAGACGAAGCTTTCAGTGGCGGATATTTCCGAAATTTCGGATATGTTTGTCACTGGGAATGAGACACTTGGGAAAAAGAAGTTTCGCTCATTCATGTACTACAACAACTTTGAACTGGGCACCATTGCGCTGAAGCGTCATCCACTGTATCGATCTATGTTCCGCTTTATGGACGAAGAGGAGCCACATGGGATAATGCGGTATCGCTGGGGAGATGCGCCGGTGCACACACTGGGCGTGGAAGTAGTCTTGCATCGCGAAGGCTGGAAGAAGTGTCAGTTCAGTCCGAGTCTTGGTGGGTACATCCACACGAAAGATCCGCGCCTGCCGCCCCTTCCCACTTCAAGGCCCACGTAACAGGCGGGAGGGTGGGC